TCGCGGGCCGAGACAGCAAACACTGTCTCGCCCGCCGAGACAGCAAACACTGTCTCGACAGCCGAGACAGCAAATGCTGTCTCGCGAGCTTGTTTTCCGCCAACTGTTCCTAGGGGTTATAAATACCCCCCGAATGCCATTTTTGAGAGGGGGCTTATTTCAGAGCAGACAGAGCAGAGTTCTTGAGCTTCTGGCAATCCCTTGAGATTCGAGCTTTGACTTGATTTCAAGAAGAACGACTATCTTACTTTGATAAGATATCGTTTCAAATTCTCACTTCGATAAACGAAGGAAGAATCATTAAACCCCTCACGATTCAATCAGAATCTGTGATTTGGTGGTCCACGAGTCAAAGTGCTCCCGGCACAGGCAAAGATCTCACACAAGCAGCGATCCAAACAACGATACTGCGTTTGTTTCTCAAGAGTTGTAAATTTTCCTTTTGTTGTGTAAAAGGAGTCTTATAAAAAGGCTATCTCTTTTTTTGAATTTATTGTAATCGACCGAAGATATAATGAATTCCATGACAAAGTCAACTTTTGACGAAAACAAATTGGCGATCACAGTGGGAGCCAATGGTCTCGCTGCCGAGACCGTCGTGTCGCAGCCGATCAAGATTCCAGTTGAATGCATGGTCGAATACGAATTCGACCAAACTAAATTTGAGGAATATCTCTCATCATCCTCTTCAAGATCTTCATTGTCTCGCGAGTACAAGAGGATCTCACAATTGAGGAAGACCTACACGCCAAAGAAGGCACAAAATGAAGACTCTCGCTTAATTGTTGCTGAGGATTCTACTCGCAACCTCTCTGCTCATAATGACTCTCCTCCAATTAAGGAGTCATTAAATTAAAGCCCGCCGGCATTGACGAAAAGAGCTCGTCAGAGACAACGCCAACGCCGCGCTCGCCAAATGGCTAAGGCCTTTGAACAACCCGACGGAGTTCGTTATCATGCGGACTTAGAGTCGAGGAGGCATCGAGTGGTTCAGTTATTTCAATGACCAATCACTCATGTCTCTGCTAAACTCACGACGGAGGAATGGACTTTAGTCAAGAGGGCTCGCTCAACCCTCAAAGAACGCATACAAAAGCATCGTCCAAACGTTGCTTATGCCCGTGCTCTCTTACAACAAAGACGAGAGAGAAACAAGAAAACGGTGGCCAAAGAACCACCAAAATTTTACAAAATTTGGATCCCGAAGTCTGGACTTAAGCAAGATCAGCATTCGGAGCCCGTTAAGACTCCATACCCGCAAAGGGGTAGTTCTAAACGTGCGACTCCCGACATAACCTTGGATCGCTCAAAGACAATAGTAAATTGTCCTGAGAATGCCAACAAGGTTTTAAACCCCCAGAAGAAGACGCATTCACCAAAAGGCATCGTCATACCTGGGAGGTCATACCAACAGACGATAAGATTTTCCGGCAATCATACCGATGAATCATACTATCAAGCTGGGGGTATGAACAAAACTCGAAATAGAACTGTCCAGGAAATGAGTTCTCATTGTTCCTGTGCTCAAGCTGGGGGTATGAACAAAACTCGAAATAGAACTGTCCAGGAAATGAGTTCTCATTGTTCCTGTGCAAGACTCATTAGAGCAATGCTATCAGAATGTGACTGTTTCAAACGAGAAGCCATCCCACGAAGAGTCTCGGTATTCCACAGTCTTTCCACCGAAATGTCGAAGCCTAAGCCAAGACATTTCTGCAAGAGAAAATCAGTTGCCCAAGATGATGAATTCCCTAAAGTCACCATCAACGTGGCTGATAAAGAAAAATCTAAATGGCATTTAAGTGAATCAAATCCTGACTTTTCCCCGAGAGGAAAAGTCAATTCAAGAATTGCCAAAGGGATGTCCCGACTCCAATTAAGAGCCATCAAACGCAGGGATTACGAGAGAATGCATGAAGGAATATCCTCAGAGGATGAACTTTCAGACATTTGTTCAGTCATTGCTTCGGATGATACCATATCCAGCACAGGACAAACCAGAGAAGTCCTCACGATCACCTCTGATCAATTTGCTCAAATTCTTCAAGAAGCTCTAACGAATCAACGTGAAGAAATTAGAGCTGAAATGAAGACAGAGATGAAGTTAGCTATCCAACAAATGAGAGAGATGCTAACTCAACGGTCTCAACTTCCTGAGCCCAGTCAGCGAGCTGAATCCAGCCGCCGTACTCAAAATATTGCTGATGACAGTGATCCGAAAGTGGAGAAAGTCATCTTTGCTGATACACCTCCCAATAGCAATAACGCTGGGGGTGGTTTAACGCACCCTCCCAATAACGATATTGGGGGTGGTTCAATGGCACCTCTTACAGGGGGTGGTCTAACTCATTCTCCTCAACGTCCTTCAAATGAAGACATAGACGATGACGAGAAAATAAAAGAGCTTGAAAACAAAATCAACGCTTTGATGACGGCTCAAGAAGTGAAAAGGACGGGTATTCCATGTCCCTATCCAAGAGAATGGGATTCAATACCATACCCGTCAAAATTCAATCTGATTAACTTCACACCGTTTGAGGGGAAGAGTTCGCCGATTCAGCACTTGATTTATTTCAAGTCTCATTTGGGCATGATCTCTGGAAACGAGGCTTTAATGGTCCGGTCATTCATTGGCACCCTTCGTGGGCCCGCCTTCGATTGGTACCGACGGCTCAAGTTAGGGAGCATCAATTGCTGGGATGACATGGAAAGTTTGTTCCTCAGCAACTTTTTCGATGATGACACCGAAGTGTCAGTTGGAACCCTTTTGGATGAGAAGCAAAAAGACAGAGAATCTATTGATAATTTTGTCAAGCGCTTCCGTGACAAAGCAATGAATTACAGAGATCCTGTTACAGAGGAGTTTATCCTGCAAACATGCCACAATAATCTCTCCATCGATGTCCTGGAAGCCCTGGGGGGTATACCATCCAAAACTTGGAAAGAGTTAAAATTACGCGGCGAACAAGCTGAACACTTTCTTAAAAGAAAGAAAGCTGAGAGAAGCCAACCGACGACATCTGCAATCACTGGGAACGCGACTCCCGATCCGAGGTTTCAAAAGGAGTATTCTTTCGAAGATGATGAAGCTCCAGCCATCTTGGAATACCTCCTCGCCAATGACAAAATCGAACTACCACCTATTAAAGATCAGGATGGAGCTTAACTCCATTGGATACACGAGTATAAACTGTTCTCCTTAACTCCATTGGATACACGAGTATAAACTGTTCTCCTTAACTCCATTGGATACACGAGTATAAACTGTTCTCCTTAACTCCATTGGATACAAGCCAAATAAAGACGATGCAAAACTCCATTGGATACACGAGTATAAACTGTTCTCCTTAACTCCATTGGATACACGAGTATAAACTGTTCTCCTTAACTCCATGGGATACACGAGTATAAACTGTTTTCCCCTAACTCCGAAGAGTATACGAGTATAAACTGCTTCTTCATGTAACTCCAAAGAGTATACGAGTATAAATTGCTTCTCATTCCTCCAACCGGTATACGAGGTTAAACTGCCCTCTGATACTCCAATAGGTATATGAGTCTAAACTGTTTCCCACTCTTGACGGGAAGTTCCTGGAGAATTATCGATACTCCAATAGGTATATGAGTCTAAACTGTTTCCCACTCTTGACGGGAAGTTCCTGGAGAATTATTTTACATGTAATATTCTTAAGGATAAACTTGACGGGAAGTTCCTGGAGAATTATTTTACATGTAATATTCTTAAGGATAACCCGGTCATGTGACTCGGTATGATGTTAGACCCATTTTCGCGAAGAAAACTGGGGGTGGGTGGTTCGTGTAACGGAAGTTCCCAAAAGAATGTTATATATAATTTTCTCAGGGATAACCCGATTATTACAAACAAAGTGATAAATACTATATCCCCATGGTGATTTCCGAATACTCTTTTGCTGAGATGAGATTCGATCACTTATTTAGATCAATCTTCCATCTCAAATTCTTATTTGGTCAAACCTTTAAACAGTTAGGACCAAAGCCAAAATCCCCTCTCGATTCCTTCCATGAACGAGAGGTCCACAAATTGAACGATCGAACCTTTAAACAGTTAGGATCGTCTCAAAACTCTCACTTGGTCAAACATTACTACAGTTAGGACCACAACCAAA